TACCCCAGTAGTAGCACACATTGTTCTGTCTTGCTTTTTTTTTTTTCACTTAATGTACTTCAGAGATTATTCCATATTATACATGTAGCTCTGCCTCATTCTTTGCATCGTTTTCTACTCTAGGGCTGTACCAAAGTGTATTTCATTAGTCTCCTACTAATGGACATTCAGATCGTTTTTTAAATCATGCCATGGTAACTAACTTTGTTTAATTGTCTTTTCATGCATATAGAATACTCTAGTAGAACATATTCCTAGAAAGGGAATTTCCCTGTCAGAGGAGTTGAACTTTAGACTTAAACTGATAAAGTCAGTACATAGTAACAGAATACAGCCTGGAGCCAAGCACTGGCTTGGCCCCTGATTCTCTGGTGAACCTGGACAAGTCCCTGATCTCTCCCGGCCACAGTTTCTCCATCCCTCATAGGTTTGCTGTGAAAATTCAGTGAGTGAATACACAAACTGCGTAGAGTAGCTGGCATGCAAGAAACACACAGCATTAGCCTTTATTATGTCGATTTATTATTTTGTCAAGTTGCTTTTGTTAAAGTGATAATGCATTCCTACCACAGGGTGTTATTTCTCTGACCCTCACCAACAATGGTTATTTTCCAACTTTCTTAACTTTGCCCATCTGATGGGTGAAATGATTGTGGTTTTAATTTTTATATAACAAACTCAGTTGCTGAGTTCAGTGACCTCTTATTGCTGCTGAACCTCCTTGCAGCAGTTGACATTTGAAGACTAGATCTATGAAGTTGTCCCCTCCTTCTCGGCAATTCTCTATTGCCTCCTGGAATATGACCCTGTATGCCTTTGGTTCACCTCCTAACTCTCGGGTCTTTTACTGGTTCCTCTCCCTCCCTCCCTCCTGCCCTGGTTCTCAAGTCCCTCACAACAAGGCTTCGCCTACTTTTCTGACCTTATTTTCTATTCTTATTTGTGACATTATTTTACTCTAAACACATCCACTACCTGTTCTCCGAACCCATTTATATGCTTTTCTGCCTCTCTGCCTTAGTTCGTGTTCTAACTGGAATTCCATCACTTTTAGGATTGACAGATAAAATATAGGACAGCTGTGAAATCTGAAGTTTAGGTAAATGGCTAATTATTTTTAGTGTTTTTGTTTATCTGAAATTAAAATTTAACTGGACATCTTATTTGCTAAATCTGGCAACCATTCCCCCAGTACGTTTTATCCCCTAGTACAGGTAATACTTTCTGTCTTACATCATCGTTACTTGTGTTCTTACAAGAATGAAAGCCTTGCCCAGGCAAGGCTGGGTCCTTCCTTTCTTTGTATTGTACGTAGGGCTGTGCGTAGTTTCTCAGAAAATATTTCATGAATTCAGTGATGTAAATTTTCTCTCAGATGGTTACAGGAAAACGTCTCCTTTCCCCTCATTTCTTACCTCATTTCCTCCTTTAGCAGTTGTTCCTGGTGATTTTGAGTAACTACCCATTCCAAACTCTCTTAAATTATCTATAATTTCATGTGCATGCATTTATACCAGTTCAAATGGTTAATTGAAATATAGAAAAACAAGTTAGCCTGGTGGCTAATATCTTCAAGATTTGTCTTGGTTCTCCAATTGACTAGCTGTACACTATCAGCCCAATTATCTCATCGCTTCAAAGCCTCAGTTTTTTTATTTATAAAATAGTAACAAGTGCTTTTCTATAGCCCCTATGATTAAATCAGATGATCCATGAAGTACTTAGTATATATTAAGGGCTCAATATATGAGGGGGGACTCAAAAAATGGAATTCATTTATTAAGAATTGTTCATTTATCCTCACATGTTAAACTTTAGTCACTTCAAAGGACTCTCCATTCAATGCAGTACACCTACCAAGACATTTTTTCTGCTGCTTAAAACAGTTTTTTAACTCTTTGATTTTGATGCCTTTTGGTTCTTCATTTTTTTTAATCACCTTTTCCATATTAACAAAACGTTTCCCTTTGAGGACTTTTTTCATCTCGAGAAACAAAAAAAAAAAATTGCTTGGGGCGAGACTGGGTGAATAGGGAGTGTGGAGCATGGGGTCATACCATTTTTAGTCCAAAACTGTTAACCACTCAGCGCAGTGTGGGCAGGAGAGCTCCTAAATCCCCCATCCTGAAATGGGCAAATGCATTGAGTCTTCAAAAAAATTTCACTGAAGCCAAACGCAGCCTCTTACAACAGCGCCAGCTAGTCCACTGATACAGAAGGATTCCTAGAACATTAACCGATGGGGGAAGCCTGTACAAGGGGCACACCCTCCAGAAGATAAGTCAAGGTTTTTGGGGTTCCCCCTTGTATGTTAGTGTATTTGTGAAAAGCTCTATAAAGGAAAATATACTGAGGGCTGTAAGAATTTACAAAAGCAGACCTGAGCTAGTTCAGAGAGAGCTTCTTTGAGAAATAATACCTGATTTTTATTGAGTATTCACCATATGCCTGTATATGCTGCCATAACAAAGCACCGCGGACTGGGTCACTTAAATAACAGAAATTTATTTTCTCACAGGCAGAGACTAGAAGTATAAAATCGAGATGGTGGCAGGGTTGGTTTTTTTCTGAGGCCTTTCTCCTTGGTTTGTAGGTATCCATTTTCTGTCTTCACATGGTCTTTGCTCTTGCTTATGTTCATATGTCCTCTTCTAAGGATACCCTAATTGGATTAGGAGCCACTCTAATGACCTCATTTTAATGTAATTATCTTTTTAAAGACCTTATCTCCAAACTTGGTCACACCCTGCCTGGACTACTGAAGTCCAGGTGGTTAGGACTTCAATATATAAATTTTAAGGTCACACAACTCAGGCCCTAACAGTTAGGTAGTAATCTATAGTGCTTACATGCATTATTTTACATCAACTGTATCACTGCTATTTTAATCTTATATATTAAACTGAGGTGCAGGGAGAGGTTGAGCACTTGCCCAGTTATACAATACCTAGGAACCAATGGAGCTCATGCTTGAACCTAGATAACCACCCACCAACGGCTTATGAAATTCAGAAGAATGAGTTGAAGCTAGCTCAGCAAAAATAATAGGGAGCATACAAGGTAGAGGGGAGTATATGGGAAGGCTGTGGAGTGGAAGAGAGCTTGGCACATAAGGGGATGTAAGAGTCCAGCAGATGATGTTAAGGAAATGGGCCAGAGAAAACCACAGCAGTCCTAAAGGCAAAGGTTAGGATTAAGATTTTGGTCTTTATCCTAAGAACAATGGGAAGCCATTGAAGGATGACTCTACCCATTAAGTAATAGCACACTGCTGTAAGGAAACACAAAAATCTTAGTTCTAATTTTTTACAAATGAGGACCTGAGATCTGCTAGTTTTTTCAATATTTTGCACCCAGGTTTCCATGTAACTCACAATCTCGAGTGAAATATTTGTAGAGTTGGTCTCCTGCATCTGTGAACTACCTAAAGCAGGTGGGCATGTGTATCAAAGGCATTGGTGACCTGTATGCTATGCTGTGCTGGATTCCCCAGAGGGAACGGGAAAGCTGAGAATTCCAGCTCTGCCCTTGAACAAACTGAATCTTGGCCTGTTGCTTTGGCAGCTTTAAATGTAGAAATGTAGTGAGGGCTACAGCTCAGCATTAAACTTCAGCTGGAAGAGTAAGGCCAAGAAGCTTTGTGTAATGTTTTTAACAGTTTTATTTAGCTATAATTTACTGTAAAAACTCACCTGTTTTTACAGTGACTTTTAGTAAATTTATAGCACAATCATCACTGCAATGCAATTGTGGAGTATTTCCATCACACTGGAAAGATCCCTACAGTTCGTTTACAATCAGTTCTGGCCCGTTCCCACTCCCATCCCCCAGTCCCCCTAATAGTGTACTTGACTGAGTTGAGATAATTTTACAGAGCTCAGATAACCTTTTTTTTTTTTTTTTAAGTGTGTGTCTGCAGTGAGAGCAAGGCAGCAACAAGAAATGCGTGAATCAAATGAGGGCGAGGCCTTCAGAACCAGTATCCCTGGGATCCTAGCCCTTTGCTGTTTGGCTCTGAGCAAGTTCACGAACACAAAGCTTCCCGTTCCTTTGTGTGTATGGCATTACTTATGCCCATTCACAAAGTTGTTGTGAGGACTGCACAAGATACTTGATGAAAAGCGCTTTGCCCGATGTTTACGGTGAGGCACTGGAGCTTCCGTGTTTATTGTTAGTACAACTCAAGGGAAACAAAAAGCAAACTTTTTGTATCAAAATACAAGAGGGTGGTGGGTGGAAGGGATAAGAAGCCAACAGAAACGTGCCTGTCTTGACTAGCTTCCCCCAACTCAGATAACTCTTAAAAGGAAACGAGGCCTGGACTCCCAGTGATTATGAATATGGGGCACACAGGTATGTTTTATCAATGTGCTAACTATGCCCAGGTTCGGTCTGTATCCACTGAGCAAAAAACTGCCCTATGTGGAGTTTATTTGCTCCAAATGGGGCAAAAGTGGTAAGCGGGTACCGCCAAACCTGGAATGTGTGCATCTGGGTAGGAAGTGAGCACACACCATGTGCCAGGACGTTATGAATAATGTGTATCCAAGACAGGACAAGTCGGTACCCTGTGCGCCTGCGCAGCTTCTTCGGGAGCGCCAAGAAACCAGTTACTGAAATCCCCCTGCTCGAGACCTGTCGGTTCTGCTCTTCGGGCGCCGCCGTTTCAGACCTGAGCGTCCACCCGTGACACCCAGCAAACCCAGGCCTGGTAGGTAACCACCACGCCCCCGCTTCGCCTACACAGTGCTCGCCAGAGCTACGAAGACTGTAAGGTTACGCGCCAGAGCCGCTACGAGAAGGAGCCCTCTGACATAACCACACCCTATATTTTACTAGGCCGCGTCTCCTTCGTTGGTGAAGTACTTAGTCCCGCCCCCTGAGTGATGTCATTAGCCACGTATCACGTTTCTACGTGTCTCAATCCTAAAAGAGGAAGTTACGCCAGGGATTCGCGAGTGTAAGCGACAGACCTGAAAGAATCTAGGCTGCCTGAGCAGAGGGGCGGTTAGACGGCATTGGAAGGCGCCGGAAGTGGTCGTGCAGGGGCGGGGTGGGAAAGGGGCTGGCCAGCCAGTTTATTTGGCTGCAGCCGGCCGCCGGGGAAGGGCGCTCTCTCCATCCACTCCGAGAGCCTGGCCCAGTCTGGGGGATTCGGTCAACATGGATTTCAGGGAAATTCTCATGATAGCTTCTAAAGCACAAGGCGTCAACAACGTACCGGTAAGTAACCGCAGGGACGCCCCTGTAGAAGGTCCTAATCTTCAAGTTCGGAATGTGCATCTGTCGGGCGGAATTTAAGGCATCCGCGCCTCTCGGCTCCGAAAGGGGAAAGACCTGAACAATTGTATTTACTTTTCCTGGGTACGGACTTCTGGAAACTCGGGGCGATGATGGGCGGGGGAAGAGGCAGAGCCTTCCAGCGAGTGGGTTTTGCTAGTTCAGTTACCCCTGCAACAAGGACTTGGCGGTTTGGTTGTTTTAGAGTTGGGAGAGAGCTGATGAGTGGAGTCGTGCCTGGCACACAGTGGAATCTAGCGCTAGTAGTTTCTGGCTTCGGTATAAACTTCTGCCCAAAGGTTGGGAGGAAGCATGTGTGTTGGAAGATCAGGGGTTTTAGAGACTTGGCCTGATAATACTTTTGGCTGATTTTCCGCCGATTTTCGCATCAAACATTTAGTGATTTCCCGAACAAGTTCTCCTGATTTGTGGCTCCACCCACTTAACAAACAGGGTGGTTAAATTCTCTCCTAAGGATCACCTTTTGTGTTGGGAAGAGAAATTGAACTGATTCCACGAAGTGCTTGGCTAACAGCATGGGTGAGCTAGTTTTAGCTTTCGTTTACTTGTGGCCTTTCAGATTTGTCTTTGTTTGAAATACAGGTTCCATTTGCTCAAGTAATGTTTGCCAATTCGCTAATCATCGAAGAGGTGGGGAGTACGAGGGTTATGGGGTTGTAGCAGTTTTGCATAAACTAATCATTTCTGGATTCTCAGACGTTACCCACAGGACAGCTGTAAACCGAAAAACTGCTTTGCGATACCTGCGGTTTGAGCAGTGAGATGTAGAACAAACACGTACAGCTCTCTGTTAGAGTCAATTCAGCTGGAATTTATTGCGATCTCACTGTGGTCTGCGTTTCTTAGAATTTTGTGTATTGCAATTTTTTTTCTCTCTTCTGTACTTGTCTTCTGATGCTGGCTCATTTTTTTATCCTTTTGAAAACATCGATCCGAAGATAGTAAAATGATTGGTAAAAAAAAAACTGATATCTATCAGTTTATTATCTGTTTAGCCATCTCCATCCCAAGTACTCTTAATAATCATTCCCTTCAGCCATGAGTCATATGCTATGCAGGTTGAAGTTCTGGGCTTTAAGCCTTTGACACCTTGAACAACAGAATTATTTTCTGCATCTGTAAATTTCCTAGACAAGTCAGTATTGAATCTGGTAATATTGGACCTTTGAATTAGATCCATATTTAATTCTAGATTCCCAAATTTCAGTGGAGGTTAAAAATAGATGATGATACTAATTTTGATGCTCAAGAATGTTCTGTGGAAGAATTGAAGAGTTAGTAATTTCTTACTCTAAAAACCAATAGCTGCTGGGAAGAAAGCAGATATTCCTAGAGCAGAGGCAGATTTTAAAATATGTGTATATTTCAGAATATACACATTATCTATTGATCTATCAAAAACTGGAAGCAGAAGGGAAAAACAGGTAAATTGGTGAGGTCATTCAAAATTTAATAGATGAATGCAGGCATATGTTATGAAAGCAAGCTTTTTTATCTGCCTGACCCTCAAAAAGTTAGTAAGCCTAGAAGTTGATTTAGTTAGCAGCATTATAATCCTTATCATTTTATATCACATGAAGGTAGAGGTGATATCACATAAGAAACTGTTGAGGAATAGAGCAAGACTTTAGTTAAATTTAACCCATGATCTTGCATCAACCTGATTCATCTAATTATTCTAAGTTATATTCTTCATCAGCTCAGAGTCTAGCCTTTAAAGCACACCATTTGTGCAAACAGTGTATAATAAAAAGGCCCAGGAAAATGTTTTCTTTCTGCAGGATTCTTTTTTCTTTAAAGTCGACTGGAGAAAGATAACATTCTTATAAAATAAGGTATTTTAAAAATTGTGGACACTTGTAAAACATAGAATGTTAACACAAACCTATATGCCTATACCTCATATTTAACACATATTAATATTTTGCCATTTTCATATTTTTTATTTTGTTTTTAGATTTTATTTATTTATCTTTAGAATGGGAAGGGAAGGAGAAAGGGAGAGAAATATCAGTGTATGGTTGCTTCTTATGCGTCCCCCGCTGGAAACTGGCCTGCAACCCAGGCACATACCCTGACTGGGAATTGAACCTCCATCCTTTGGTTTGCAGGCCCGTGCTCAATCCACTGAGCTATACCAATCAGAGCTCCATTTTCATATTTTTAAAGAATAAAGCATAATTCATACACCTAAAGAGTCTCCCAGGCCTTGTTTCCATTTTTAAAAATGATAACACAGTACAGAATAATACAGATTCTTATTAAACAAGTATCCTCGTAAACCACCATCCAAATCAAGAAACATTATTTCAAGCCACATACACCCTGCTTGACATTAACTTTACCGATTAATTGGTATTCTGAGAACTACAGAGTTTGCAGCGATAGCACCATCCCTCTCTGGTGCATAGTTCCTTTTTCCTTTTTAGCCATCTTCTCCCCCACCTTCCACTTGACTCCTATCAGACCTGAAGTTCCGAGTTAGTCCTCATGGTTCCTGTGTCAGACCTTCGCTGCAGAAAGATACCACTGTTGATGATTAGAGTAAAATCCAAGGCAGGCTAAAATCTAAAACACCTGTGCAGCCACTTTGACCTCTTTGCAGGGCTTTATTTTCAAGAGATGTCTGTTGAATCTGACTTGAGAAGCAATGAACATTTCCCTAATGGAACATTTCTTTTTTCTGTTGTTTCTTTCTCAAAGAATTGGTTATTTTTATAATGTTTTCATTAAAACATAGAAAGGATTGCATCATGCCTAGAAATATTAGGCATGCTATGTTTCCCAGTGGAAAACTGAGTACAGAATAACAGCTGGTCAAGGTGATGTAACCAATCATTGTCATTAACTCTGTTTATATTTAAAGGAGAAAAGACATTTTTCTCCCTGACTTCCTCTAGGAAAAACAGAGAAATTGTCTTATTTTGATAGAATAGCTTATAATATGTTCTTCTAGGTTTCGAATAGCTATAATTAATGGCTTGTAGTGCATGGTCTTTATCACAGTGAGACTGTGAAAATTATCCCAAACAAGATACCACAGCTCTGATGTGAACCTCAAACCAAAAGTAAAGGGGAAACCTTTCTGTGGTACCAGATATTATAAAGATTTTTGGGGCTGTGGCTCCTTAAGGAGAAAAATATAGGTACTGAAAATGGAGCCCAGGAACTTTAAGTGGGATGGAAGTTACAAATGTCTTCAGGGAACAGATGGATATTGTAAATTCTTGAAGTAGTCTGGATATAAAATGATAGGTGCCAAAGCTCCACATATTCCAAAGAAGCCTACCATTTATTACAATAGTTATATTTCCCTTTATAAAGAACAGTATGGCCCTGGCTGGTGTAGCTCAGTGGATTGAGCACGGCCCTGCGAACCAAAGGATTGAGGTTCGAGGTTCGATTCCCAGTCAGGGCACATGCCGTGTGGTACATTGATATTTCTCTCCTTCTCTCCTTCCCTTCCCCTCTAAAGATAAATAAATAAAATCTTAAAAAAAAAAAACAACAGTATGGGCCAACAAAAAAAGTTTGTACAGGGAGTGACTATGTAACCCTTGATCTGTTGGGTTAGCCAAAAAGTTCATTCAGTTTTCCCCATACGATGGCTCTGGTAATGCTTAGTTGTCTTAATTTCATTTGAAACAATTTTGTTGGATTGTATTGCAACAATCAGTGTCATATCAGTGTACATGAAAAAAAATGATCAAAATTGGTGAATTTTTTGTGTAGCCATTTTAATATTGAAGATGGAAGAAGATACCCGACATTTTCGGTGTATTATGCTTTATTATTTCAAGAAAGGTACAAACACAAATGAAAAGCAAAGATTTGTATATGGAGGAGGTGCTGTGACTGATGGAATATGTCAAAAGTGGTTTGCAGAGTTTCTTGGTACTATTGGCATTTTGGCCAAATAATTTTTTGCTGTGGGGCTGTCTTATGCATTGGAAGATGTTCAGCAGCACCTCTGGCCTCTGCTCACTAAAGCCAATAGCACAGGGGTGTCAGACTCATTTTCACTGGGGGCCACATCAGCCTTGCAGTTGCCTTCGAAGGGCCGGATATAATTTCAAAACCTTAACAGTTAAGGAGTAGTTATATTTCTACAGCCCTAAAATTATTTTGGCCCTTTGAGGACAACTGTGAGGCTGATGTGGCCCCCGGTGAAAATGAGTTTGACACCCCTGCAATAAGCGGGGGATACCCAACATATCAGGATTCCAAATCAATGAAATTATTGGGGAACATGAAAAATGTGTCTTTTAGAAAAAACTAAATGGACTTTTTGGCCAACCCAACACAATCATTTAAACTGGATTGCTCTCCACTCTTGGATCTGCCGATGGTTCACCCAGTGCCTGGTGCAGCTGTGGATTTCTAGCATCGAGCAGTGTTTCCCAACCAGTGTTTTAGGGAAAGGGTCTTGTAGAGGCCGCTGCCCCCGCAGGCATTGTTATTTCCTTCCTCATCATTACCTAGATAATCTCTTTCTGAATAATAATGGCAAAGGCGATTAATATTCATAGTGCTTACTCTGCCAGGCACTGATCTAAGCACATTATATACATATTAATTTAATCACTATAATAACCCTATAAAGAAAGTTGTTTTACAGATGAGGAAACTAAGGCCCAGAGAGATGGAGAAACTTGCCCAGAACTACACAGTTAATGAGTGACATGGCAGACTGGCTCCAGAGTTCTTGTTGTTAATCTCGAGCCTTTGTTGAATGAGGAGAATGTATTAGATACAGGGTGGAAAGGAAGGTTGTCATCTGTACAGCCTGAACCACCGAACCCACCCAGCTAGCTCCCTGTCCCCAACCCCAGGCTAACATAGTCTTTAAGCAGTAACTCAATTGGTTTTATTTATGACATTTCTCAGTGTATAGTAAAGTCTGATGGAAGAGAGATTTACACTGCATTTGAAACTGGTAGAGAAATTTCCAGCCTATTAGGGATAGTGCTTGCATGGTTAGCAGAAAGGGCCTGAGGGTGAAGAAGATAAGAGAAAGCTCAGTGGTGGATCTGTTTGAGGTAATGGCACTGTCTGAGAGATAGGTGGAAATTAGGGATGGGCCTTTAAGACTGAGGTCAGAGCCCTGCCGGATGTGGCTCAGTGGATTGGGCATTGTGCTGCAAACCTAAACTTAGTGGGTTCTATTCCTGTCGGTACATCCCAGGTTGGGGGTGTGCAAGAGGCAACCAGTTGATGTTTCTCTTTATCTTTCCCCCTTCCCCTCTCTAAAAATCACTAATTAAAGTCTTTAACATTAAAAACAAATACTTAAGAAAGAAAAGATTGAAGTTAGAGGTAGAGATGTAACTGTTGGAATTAAATTAGAAATAAGGTATGTTGTAGTGGTAACACTCTTGGACCCACATCAGACCTAAATTCAAATTCACAGCTGTCTGCTACAAACCGGAAGTGCATGGTTGTCCTACCTGGGGCATTTCTAATATACAGGTTGGACTAGAGGCTCTGAAGTACCTATCTGATATTCTGTTATCAGATATATTATAAACACAGTGACAGTAAATTGTACATTTAATGCAATAGGAATCTTGAATAGCATACTTTCTGATTGTTTTATTTTCACCCTCTTAGCTACCCAGCTGAACATGCATGGTGCAAACCATTGGATTTGCAGGCCTACATTCACTCCCTATGATGTTTTGAGATTGTAGAAATTGTGTGGTTATTAAAGTTAAGAATATAGTCTTTGAATATTCCTAACTCCTAATTCTAACCAACAATAGATCTCTAATGTATGTAAAACCATCAGGAAATTTATATCTTCTACAATTACAACAATATGTTACCTCCTGAGTAAAGAACAGCTTGCAAGAAGGGATTGACTATTGATTCCAACATAGCGTATTTGGTGAACACATATTTCCAGACTGAGAGCTCCAAAAGAAAAGGCTTTTTTCCCCCTAAATTTCCTTTTTATTGAAGTTATGAGGTAACACTGGTTCACAAAATTATACAGGTTTCAGGCGCACAGTTGTATAACACATCATCTGTACATTGTATTGTGTGCTCACCACCCCAAGTCAAGACTCTTTCCATCACCATTTATCCCTCCTAAACCTCCTCCATCTCCCCCCAACCCCCTAATTTTCTTAATATGACTCTGGCAGTGTAGTCTCAACACAAGAACACATGTTTTAAAATTACTTAATGTCTTCTAGGTGTGTTGGCTTTAGAATCACAAATCTTGGCAAAATCTCTGGTACTGTATTTAAATGGCATAAGCTTTACTGTTGTGGATCATTCATTGGAGTCCAGCAGAATGACTGAGTTGGCTTACAGTATAATAAAATGAAAGAAACTCTTGTCCAGCTGCTTTTCATGAAGCTCAAACAATGAAGCAGCCTGGTGCCTTGAATCAGATTCAGAGTTGGTGGGTACATCTTCATGTGCTGCTGCAAGAGCTAAATGTGACCATCTGATGCAGGGGAAAGTGCCAAATGGTTCTCTGCCTTATAAATAGAATATAATGCAATCCCAGCCTGAGGCTTTCTGCAACATTTTCATTGAGATGTACAAGGGGGGAACCCAAATAAACCTGGAATTTATTTATAAAAAATTGTGTATTTATTCTCACGTTTAAACTTTGGTTTCAAAGTACTCTCCATTTGATGTAATATACCTATTAAGACTTTTTCCCACTGCTCAGAACAGTCCTTGAACTCATCGATTTTGATGCCTTTTGGTTTTTCTGCCGTTTTTTGTTTCACCTCTTCCACATCAGCAAAACATTTCCCTTTGAGGACTTTTTTCATCCAGGGAAACGAAAAAATTTGCCCAGGCAAGGGTGGGGCAAGGGGGCCATGCCATTTTTGGTCAAAAAGTGCTGAACACTCAGTGAGGTGTGAGCAGGTGCACTTGTAAATCACCCATCATGAAATGGGCAAATGTGTTGAAAGAATCTTAAAAAAAAAAAAAAAATTTACTGAAGCCAAACACAGCCTGCCACACCACCACCAGCTGGTGGGTTGGTATAGACGGGTTCTAGAACGCTTACCTAGCAGGGGAAGCCTGTATTTGTACTACAAGGGGCCTGCCCTCTAGAAGATAGTTCTGGTTTTGGGGGGAGGGTCCCCCATTGTAATTCACATACCATAAAACCTGCCCATGGTTTTTAGTATATTCACAGTTCTGCAACCATCACCAGTATCTGGTTCTAGAACATTTTCATCATCCTCAAAAATAATCTCTTACCTTTCAGCAATCACTTCCCACCCATTCCCCCTCTCCTATTAACCCTGGCAACCACTAATATACTTTCTGTCTCTGTGAATTTACCAATTCTGGATCTTTCATGTAAATGAAATCACATACCTAGGGTAGCATTACATAGTGATCATTATCATAAAATAAGGTAAAATGCATAGGCCATGAATAAATAAGTAGAAGTGATTATACAAAAATATATGATTTTTTATTTTGAAAACTTAATTTTTACTTGACTGTATTATTAAGTTTGAAAAGACACCTTCAAAGGCCAAGAGAATGCCTTTTGGAGAATGCTTTGTAAGCTGGTTCATAACATCTTTGAACTGAGAAATTATATTTCTCAATAAAAATTAAGAGATAATTAGTTTCTGAAACCATTGTTTTCTGACCCCACTGGTAACCCCACGGACCTTGTTTTCCCTTCAGGTGCCTGTATTCAGCAAAGAGTAGCTTTTCTTCTAGTCATAATCCCATTAGCTATCTCTTAAAGTTCCAGGTTAAGAAGAAAGGTGTCTGTCCTGAAATCAAATCAGGAAGTACTTACTGCTTAATACATAGATAACAAATCGATCCTATTTTAAGTAATTAACACAAACATGTAATTGGTATTTTTCTGTGGGAAACATGCTTTGATTGGGCAGGTGAATCTATGGACTGTACAGTTAGTTGGCAGGGACAGGAAAGTCTTAAGTCTCAGCAAGAAAAATCTACCCTTCTTCCTGGGGAGTGTATGCACCTCTGCTTACAAATCCGTGTATGTCTTTATGCAACTGGATTCTTACTCATGGTGGTCCTTCCATTGTGAAATGGTGACCTTCTTGTCTATGTTTGAGGTTCATGTAAACCAGGACAATTTTATATGCCTAGTTGGTAAGCAGTGTGCTCCTTCTCAGTCTTCTTTTACCTCTCCTTTTCTCCTTTAAGTGTTGGGCCCCAACCTAGTACAGGAAGGGTCTACAACTAAATTTACAAAGGTAGGGATTTTTTTTAAAAAAGGTATCTCATTATGACTCAGCCAAGAGGACTAGGAAAGAACTCTGGATGTCTCTTGGGATTTCTCTCAGTCAGAGATGTGTCAGTTCTTAGCATTGTAATCACGAAAAATTTGCAGGTTGATTAGGGTGTGCTTCCTTGGCTGGTTGCTTCGTTGGTAGACTGACTTAGCTGGAACTTCCGGCCTGTTTCAAGATGTCTTGTATTTGGCAGCCATACGGTAAGCATGGATCCTTTGGCTTTCCACCAAGAATTTCATATACACTTTGGGAATCACTTTTTGGTTCCTGAGTAGCTGAATTTTTTCTCAGAGGATAGTGTTTCTTTTTTAACTAGTACAGCAGTAGGTTAAATGGATAAAAATGTCATCTCTCTAATAAGACAAAAGAGGGAAGGCATTTAAAAAATCTTTATTCCTAGCCCATAAATTTAATGTGGGATGATCCTGGAGATGAGTCATCTCAGTCTGTTATTAGCTCTATTTATCATACTTCTTTAATGATAATTACTTACAAAATGGAAATCTTTGTCTTTTCATAGTTCAAATGAACAATATTTGAATGTTAGTCATTTCTTGATGTGGTTACATAAAAAGTGAAGCCTGGAGAAATTCCGTCTGTGCCAGGATGGTTATTTTCTGGGTAGTCAGAGTAAAATCTCAGTGTTCAATGCTGTAAGCAGAATAACCTGTGTAGCCATGAGTAGAAAATCGGCCGGAGTAGGGTACTCAGGAAAGAACATAGCTAGCTGTGAGGAGTAATTTTTATTGCTAGTTTGAAACATCGGACGTTTAAATGCTTAGAGAAGAAGGCTGCTTTTTGTTGTTGTTATTTAAGATTTGATTTATTTTAGCCAGAGGAGAAGGGAAGGAAAAAGTGAGAGAGAGAAACATTGATTGGTTGTCTCTTACAAGCCCTCAACCTGGCCTCCAAACCAGGCCTGTTCCCTGATGGAGAATTGAACCAGTGACATTTTGATCAGTGGGACAACACCTGTCCTGCTGAGTCGCACCAATCAGGGTGCAGGCTGAGTTTTAGATCAGAACTTTAAAAGTCCGTTCTAAGTGGTGATTGATTTCTTTTTTTAACCCCCAGTCTAGGTACCTTTTTGGATAATAGCCTAAAAATAATGTTTCTCTGAATTTTTCATTGATGCATCATTTGGGTAGTAATAGAGAAGCTCTGTACATAAAAATAGCTTTTTGTAATCATATTTAACCTGAAATTTTATGACTAAGCTTTAATGTGGATTATATGATCTCAGTTATTCAGATTAGGTTTTTCAGTCAACATTTAACCCTCTCTATTGCCTGGCAAAGTGCTATATACTGATAGACAATATATTTTTTAAAGTTGAATTATTTGTAACTTTTACTGTTGTTTTTTTATTTCTTTTTTAGAAAAGGTATAGTTTGGCAGTGGGTCCTCCTAAAAAAGACCCAAAAGTTAAGGGTGTTCAATCAGCAGCCGTGCAAGCTTTTCTCAGAAGAAAGGAAGAGGAGCTCAGACGAAAAGGTACATTATCTATTGCCTTGCTCTTAGTTTTAAAGTCTTCCACCTTCACAGCTTGTCCTAGCCAGTGGATGTTTACAATAATGTAACAGGCTAATGGGTTTATTGCATATGTGTAAGAGGCAACTGCATAAATCACCTGTGTTATGTTGATCATTTGCATGGATGTTATCTTTTTTTTTTTTTTTAAGATTTTATTTATTTATCTTCAGAGGGGAAGGGAAGGAGAGAGGGAGAGAAACATCAATGTGTGGTTGCCTCTTGTGTGTCCCCTGCCGGGAAGTGGCCTGCAACCCAGGCATGTGCCCTGACTGGGAATCAAACCGCAATACTCTGGTTCACAGGCCTGCGCTCAGTCCACTGAGCTACACCAGCCAGGGCCTGGATGTTATCTTTTATTTCCTCTTAAATAAAAGCTTTTTGGGAATAGTGACCCTATCTTCTAATTGGCCATAGTAACCCCAGTAAGAACTCTATTCCTTGACTTTGGTTCCGAATCTGTTTCTAACCTATTTTGTATTTTAATTTAAAAGTTATTATTGGAAGGGCTATCTAAAAGATTGAAATAGAGGCAGTTTTTGAAAACCAGTAAACTCGAGAAGTAATTTCACTTCATGAAGATGAAAAGGAAACTGACTCAGTAGGTTTAAGTATTCATTGCGTCATTATAACAACTGCTAAGTGGGTACAAATGTTCCCTTAACTTGGTATATTTATTCGGTATGAACTGTTTTCTATATTTAAAGCTAAAAGCCAAGTCTCTCACTTGCTTAGTCATATAGAAAAACCCATATGTGACCCACTTATTATGTTAAGATGACTCAGTTGATACTTGTTCAAGTGACTTCCTCATTTGATTCCTAGATGTCTTCAGACTGTATTGTTTCAAACTAAGTGTTGCTTATGTTTTGGCCACCTGCTGGTTTCAGATGAACAGGCTGTTATCTTGAGATCTTGAAATGTGTTCTCTTTTTGTCCCCTTTAGCCTTAGAGGAGAAAAGAAGAAAAGAACAACTAGTGAAAAAGCGAATTGAGCTAAAACATGACAAGAAAGCGAGAGCTATGGCCAAGAGGACGAAGGATAATTTCCATGGTTACAATGGGATTCCTAGTGAGGAAAAGTCAAAGAAGAGACAGGCAGTGGAAGGCCACACGAGTCAGGGAACAGACCAAGAGTACGAGATGGAAGAAGAGGATGAATTCCTAGAATACAATCAAGCAGCATCAGAGCAGGAGTCTGAGGAAGAGCCAGAACCTCCCAAAGTTGAAAGCAAACCAAAGGTCCCCCTTAAAAGTGCCCCACCACTCATGAACTTCACTGATCTGCTGAAGCTGGCTGAGAAGAAGCAGTATGAACCAGTGGAAATCAAGGTAGTAAAGAAAACAGAAGAGCGGCCTATGACTGCACAGGAACTTAAGGAGCGAGAATTTCTTGAACGAAAGCATAAGAAGAAGAAACCTGAGGCAGATGCAAGACTACCTCCAACCAAAAAGGCACCCTCTCAGAAAGAAAGTGTGGGCACAAAACTTAGCAAAGTTTCTGGGGACAAACGTCCTTCTTCCAAAGGTGCTCCCCTTCCTCACGCTGGGAAAAAATCCAGACCCATCACTGCTAATGAGAAACACTTGGGTTTGTCTTCATCCAAATCCATGCCGAGAGAGAGGACCAAAGCGGGATCCGGCAGTTGCTCCCAACCCCCGCTTCGTGCAGGCCATGACAGACCTGTTTTCAATGGGGCTGGAAAGATCCACTCAAATACTTATTCACCAAGTGTCCCAAAGACTTCTGTTAAAGGGACTCAGAAATCTGCTGAGCACAAAGCCAAAAAATCTCCTCCGCATCCTAGCCATTCCAGGCCTGGGCCCATGGTCACCCCACATAATAAAGCTAAGAGTCCAGGCAGTAGGCAGCCAGGCAGCAGCTCCAGCTCAGCCTCTGGGCGGCCCAGCATAGGGACTGCTCGGCCTACAGTTAGTTCTGGCGCCGTGCCTAGGCGCCAGAATAGCAGCTCCAGCTCAGGACCTGAGCGATCCATCATTGGGACCAAGAGGCCAGCCAGTGACTTAAATCCTTCTGGACGGACAGTCAGTGGTACAAGTGGCCCTAGACGACCCATCAGTGGGCCAGGTGCCTCTGGGAGATCTGTAGTCAGCTCTGGTGGTCCTGGGTGGCCTGTGAATACTCCACATGACCTCCGACGACCAGTGAGTAGCTCAGTGCCCATGAGGCGGTCAGTCAGTGGCCCTGGACATTCAGTAAGTGGCTCAGTTCCAGCTGGACGGACTGTTGGTAGTTCAGGCCCTGGAAGACCAGTGAGCAGCTTGGGAACTGGGCGAATAGTTAGTAGTAGTAGTAGCTCAGGACCCCCCTTGAAGCCCAGGTGCACTGTTGTCTCAGAAACAATTTCTTCCAAGAATATCATTAGCCGGCCCAGCAATGGACAGATGAACGGAATGAAGCCTTCCTTGTCTGGCTACAGATCTGCCCAAGGTAAAATTGCCCCTCGCCCTGAGAGTATTTATTTGCCACTAGGAAATTGGAAAGCGTACTTCTTTATACACCAGAGACACTGTAATCCCTCTATGTGCCCTTTAATGTTTTCTTATGTTGCTAGAATCCTGATGTTTTGTCTGTCTTGTGCCTGAGAATTCTTGTAGTGATCATGACTTGGAAAAGTCTTTAGAAAGACTTATTTAATTAGCGCCCTTGGTGTTTATCTCTGTAATATCTTCAAGTTTAATAAACACAGCTTTGTGATTTTTGTAAGACAAAGACAGTATATGTGCCTTATATGGCTCAGTGAATGGATTCACCTTTTCATGAGACTAAAAGAGACTGGTCTTCAAGTATGGGAGTGTATTTGTAAGCTTGAAGCCTTTGGTACATTACTTATTCATCAGATGTTTGTTTAGTACCCAATATGTGTCAGGAACTGTTTAAGACCGCCCTTGTATTTCTTCTCCTTATAGTGAGCAACATTAAGGCCCTAGCTACTAAACCTAGGAATCTCCTGTCCCAACGTACAGGATCATTGGTGGCACCTACTGGCTGCTAGGTCATAGTTTCTCCATGGTAGAAAGTATTTGTTAAAGTGCTTGTTAGGCACCATGGAGAATACAAAAAAACCCAAAAGATTTTCATCCATGCTTTTAACTTCCTAATTGGGCTAGAATATTGGATCTCAACCAAGGATGATTTTGATCCCCAGTGAACATTTGGTGTGTCTCGGGGCAGGGGATGCTACTGGAATCTACTAGACAGAAGGCAGGGATGCCGCTGTTATCCTAGAGTGCACAGGACAGGCTCCCCCTAACAGCAATGTCAGGCCCGAAGTGTCAGTGATGCCAAAGCTGAGAAAGAAGCCCTGAGCTAATGAGACAAGCCTGCAGATTAAAGTTATAGGAGAACAACAGGAGTGTCTGTAATCGAGGACTAGACAGCAGCTATTCCCAGATGCTGGCCTACTGATTAATGTCCATCTTTGCAAAACTTTTAATCAGTCTTTTGGAAAAATGACAAAAATAAGGATATGTAATGAGTTTTTCCTAAAGTCAGATTTTACTCAGTTTAAATAACTATCCATAATTCTGAGAATCTCTCCTACTTTAATGAAATTATGGTACGTTTGGTGTCTTGTCTTTGTGAAATTAGAAGTTAATGATCCTATGCTATTTGGCTTTTTTTTTTAAGTTGCCAGTCTTTTAAATCCAGGAGAATTTCACTAAGCTAGAAAATGTAACAGATACTTCTGAGTCCTGGGATATACAGGAACTCTGTTCCTTGTGGGTGTTGTGAAGCAGCAGGGGTGGGGTAGGAACGGCTCCGTGCCGTGCACTAGCCCGCTGGCTCTGGTTTTTGAGACTACCGTCTTCATGAGTTCTCAAAATCTGTTTATGTAGAACTTTTTGGGGACTATTTGAAGGGTTTTTATTTTTTTTGGGGGGTGGCTATTTTAAGTTTTAATGCTCTTATAAATAATGGCTTTTCTATTCTTAGGTCCTCAAAGGCTTCCCTACCCTAGTGGTTATAAAAGGCAACGAGACTATGAAGAGGAGGAAGATGACTATGACTCTGAAATGGAAGACTTTATTGAAGATGAAGGAGAACCTCAGGAGGAAATATCCAAGCACATTCGAGAAATCTTTGGCTATGACCGAAAAAAGTAAGGTTAAAGAAGATTTAGATACACTTTTTATTTTGAATAACTCATGCTAAGAGCAAAGGCATGAATACAATTCTTAATTAGGAATCTTTGCATGATTTAGATTTACTTCTTTGGCATTTAATAACTGAGAATTATGTAACTCAGAATTATTTGTGTAGTTCCTTGCGTGAGATCCCAATATTATCCCTTTTCAAATAGTTGTCTTTGTAAGATACATAGCTAATGTGAATGAAGCAGTGTGATGTGGTAGAAATAGATTGGCTTTGAAATCAAAAAACCGTCCACAGAGCTATGTTGAAAACTGGTCTGCTCTGTTGCCTGCTTTTGTTTGGTGTAACAAACCTTGCACTTAAGTGTTATCCCTGGGCAGCAATGTGGGACCAATAGCATTAACATTATCTGGGAGCTTGTTAGAAATGCACGTTCTCAGGCCTCACGTTGGATCTCCTGAATCCAAATCAAATCAGCTTTATTAGGTTTCCTGGTGGGTGATACACACATTAAAACTTGAGAAGTATTTAAAGGTAGATCGCGGTTTGAATGAAGGTTCTACCACTTGCTAGCTAGGTAAACTGGAGTAAATAATTTGATCTGAAATGGCATTTGGAAGGATTAAAGGAGGCAGTGTTTGTGTAGAACAGAAAGGCTTTGTCATAGTGTCTGTCCATCAACAATTGCTGCCTCCTTCAAAGCCACGGACAAGGAATATGACAGCAACCCTAAGGTTTTTGTTTGGGGGGGGTGTTGGTTTTTTTAAAGGCATTTAGTAGAAGAAAGAACTGAATTAAAGATTAGATCTAAAAATCTGATCTAGCCCTGACTGGTGTGGCCCAGTGAGTTGGGCATCCTGCAAACCAAAAGGTCACCAGTTTGATTCCCAGTCAGGGTACATGCCTGGGTTGTTGGCATACGAGAGGCACCAATCAGTGTTTCTCTTGCCCATCGATGTTTCTCTCCCTCTCCTCCTCCCACTCTTCCCCTCTCTCTAAAATAAATAAGTAAAAAAAATTTTTTTTAATTGTCAAAACTAGTAACTTTTAAAAAATAAAATTCTATGTAGTGTTATTAGAGCTATATGTTATTATAGCTATTAACCTGTGTGCTTCAGTCTATGTTCTAAAAGTCCTTTCCTCCCTAATGATGGCATGAAATTCCTATGAAACTTATACGAAATAATTTTCACATATATTGTGCTTTTAGGATTTTACTATGAATTATCACATAAGTAGAAGTGAGCTGAGAGTAAGCATTGTTGGGTCGGTACCTTCCTCAGCGCTGGATTCGGGGATCGGGGGGTAATAGGAGCTCATTTAATTTGTCTCAGAAATGCACTTCTTCTCATCCTCTGCCCACTCTATTCCCAGCCAAGCAAGGAGGAGTACTCCTAAATGTGTTTGATTTAGTTATAAAGATGATTTTAAAAATAACAGGATTTAGTTCCTTTAAAAAAATGAATTTTTGTTTTTAAAACAGTTTTGATTTCCTTTTTCCAGATACAAAGATGAAAGCGATTATGCCTTACGTTACATGGAGAGTAGTTGGAAAGAGCAGCAGAAGGAAGAAGCAAGGAGGTAGGAACAAAACACCACCTGATTTTTATCCCATGTGTAGACATGACCTACCTCTCCTTTCTGTTTGCTGCTTCCATGGCACCGTTGGGAGCAGGGGCTTTGGGCCACACAATTCTGAATTCCAGTCCTCCTCATTTGCTGTGGGACTTTAGACAGATTCCTTAGCCTTTCTAAATCTTGTTTTCTTATTTGTAAAATGAGAACATACTGCTTTTACTGACCGACGGATTGTGAGGAATAAGATAATGTGGACAAGTTGCTCTGGGCAGCACCTCATCCACAGAGGCTCACAGGAACTGCTGGAGGCTGCCTCTGGTCCCGGGACAGCCTGTTCCTGTTTTTGTTCTCCGCCCTGATTCCCTGTCCGCATCAGACACGTCTCAGCCCTGCTCCCAGGGCCACTGCTGGCCTCCGGGCCCGATAAGGGACACTAGATTCCTTCGGATTCCTGTCTGGCTACCTAATAGCAAACGAATGATAATTTCTTAGGTAGAGGGAACAAGTGAAATAATTTGTAACTTGGTGAAATATTTTTGCCTTAGTCTCAACCCAGAATATTAAATCTTTTTCTCCCTCTCATCCTCCCTCTCCTGTAACTAGGTATCAAACTTCAGTGTTAGGAAGGCACAGGCCCAGAATGTTAGTTTTGTATAAACGTTTCTTGTTCTTTATTTTTAAAAGCTGTTGAGATAATTTCTACTTTATTACTTATGAGAATATTAAAGTATTTTGTGTTGAGCTTGCACCTGAGGTCTTTTTCTCCACTGTAATTTGAGTCAATGGCAGTGGCTTCTGGTAAAAATATTTCTGCTAATCTGTTTTCAGTGGTAAGGCCTTGGAGGCATTTTGAGTGCATAATACAGTCCATCTGAGCTTTCAGTCAAAATTTCATTCTTTTTAAAGAAAGTAGTAATTTTGTTCGTATTGACAAAGACATTTCTTTTCTTTCTTTTTTTGGACAGTTTGAGACTAGGTATGCAGGAGGACTTGGAGGAGATGAAACGTGAGGAAGAAGAAATGAAATGCCGAAAGGGCAAGAAGCTGAAAAGGCATTAGCTGCTGCTTTTATTTATTTTTGTGAAATTCTGGAGACACTCTGCTGCAAGGAAGTCCTGCCTTCTGACTGAAGAAGCCCCTTTATCATTTTAGATTTATACTTGGGTCCTAAGGAGAAGGAATGCATACTGTATATTTTGAGCATAAAGTATTTTCAAATACTTTCCAGGGTGAAATCTGTAATGCAGATGACATCCTGCCCAGTGAGTGCTCTTATGAGGCAGGTGCCAGCCTTGACCCTGATGAGCTATGCATTCTAGTGTGGGGCTACTTGACAGTCAGCCGATCTTCCCTGTTCCTTTGCTAGGTTAGAAAGGAAAAAAGATTGCTTCTTGACTTCATAATTCTGCTGATGCGTGAGTGGGGCAATGGCCGGCTCCCAAACTTATTTTCTTTTCATAAGGAACCTGGCCCTTGCACGAATGTTGCCAGCAATAAAGTGACCTGTCCTAATCTATGCGTTTGGATTGAGAACTTGAAAATGTAGACTTAGAGTAGGCTTTATAATTATCAGATGGAAGTCATCTCTGTGACTTTGAAGTGAAAAGTAGAATAAATTATATTGTATTCTGTATTCATGGATTGGATGCTGAGCATTCTTATTTGCTAATTTAGGTGATTAGGCAATTAAAAAATTCTCAAGTTAAAATACAAGTTATGCCATTTAGTATAAAAATATTTTTTTCAAGCTTTCCTTTGTAAAATAGACAATGTCATTTCTGATTTTTATCTAAAAATTCATTTTTATATTGAAGAAAATATTTTACTCAAAAATTAGAGTTGAAAAAGTAATAGTTTAAAAAAATAAGCAAGTGACATGTGAGGCTGCCCTACTGCCCACCCCCCACTGTAAAGCTACTTTGGAATCCAAGGTGCCCTTGTATCCCTTAATATTAATGACTTTGAATTTTTATCTTAAAAATTCCTTAGCGATTAATGGCAAAAACCAAAAACTAAATTCATGTGTATCAAGAGCACCACTTTCTCTTTTTGCCCATATTGCACTTTTATTTCAAACTATGCACTGTGAAGAGATTTTTGCCCCCCAGGTGGAAAAGGATGTTCGTTATACTGGGCTTTGTTCCACTTTTCTTTAAGCCCTAGCTAAAGACCTGCTATCTCTTAAGCCTCAAATCCCAGCAGTTCCACTCAGGCTGACTTAGGTTCTGGCTGGAGAGAAGCCAAGTCTCAAGGAAAGTCAGCAACAGAAAATGAGATGGTGAGAGTGGAGAGCATTTGTCCTTGATTCTAAATGTGGAGGGTTGGGGACAGCGGGACATAAGCTTGTAGAACAGCTATACAATATTGTGGCTATTTAAGCCATTGGGTGATGATTAAGAAAGAGAAGTTGTTCTACAAAGAATCCTTACTCTTCAGTAGGTCCAAAACTTGTTTTGGTGTATTCCTTTTTATCCATCAAGCTTTCTTTATTCTCCAAGTTTGAGCATTACAGATGACCATCATCCGCCTTCCTTCATGGGTCAGCTGTGTGACCTAGTCCCTTAAAACTCTGACTCATTTTGAATTGACTTTCAAACTTTGAAAGTGCAAGGGTTTAATTTTGAAGTTGAATCCAATGAAAGGTGTCGTTATCCCTAGGAATAACACCCTTTCTAATGTTCCACACAGACTGTTACACTGGTGGCAGAAAACCCTATTAACTGCCTCTCACCCATCTCGGACCTTCAGTGAAGTTGCGGAAAGGGTAGTGAGGTTCCATGTGATAAACCAGGTTGGGAACAGCATTTCCTTTGCTGTCACTTAACGTGGTTTTTCCTCCAGAAGTTTTTATTCTTGGATATATTTTTTTCAATATTCCAAACTCTCTGATATTGGCCATTACAATCAAGTACTTGTTACAGATGAAAGATTTTCGGTGGCTTAAATTAACTAGCACTTTACTCAGTGATATTGAGCAGCCATTTGTACAGAAAGGCACCATCGTGCTAGAGAAAAGTTGCAGAACTTGGTGAGGAGTCAGGCTGTGTCCTGTGCCTGTCACTTCTGAGTGCATTCCTTCTGTAATGTAGATGTTAGTTTTGCTATTATTTAACATTGACATTCAGAAAAAGGCACCTCTGTAGCTCATTTTTTTTATAAAATTGAGTCTTTCCAGTTAGTTTTGGCCTTGTTTCCAAATGTGGTCTTCCATTTTGATCTTTAATTCCTGACCACTTGTACAAAAAGCTCACAACCTTTCAAGAAACTGGAGTAGGCTGTTATTTTATCAGGGTTTACAAATTAAGTGCATGACTTTTAATGTACTCTCTACTGTTCATTTTCAGATTTTCCTAAGTCAATATTTGAAGATGTGCCTTTTATTGGGTAATGCTAGTTCACGAATGTAGTAATGTTATTCCACAATTGTAATAATGTTACATGATCATGGGCGTGGTGCTCTAACAGATGATGTGAAAGGAAAAGAGTTTTCATAAAACTCATATGCCTCTGATTGCACAGTCCCACTTGCTTTTAATGTTGCTATGACAAAGCAAGGGGCACTTTCTTGTAAGGCTACTTCAGAACTTTTCTTAGTATTTTCTCTAAGCTACAGTAAAAGCTGTTATGTCCATCTGGAGGCCAGGGGACCACCTGTCACGGGCAGCTTACCTGTGTGCCGTGAAAAGGTTCAGAGACTGTTAGCAAAAAAGAAAGTCTATGGGAACTCAAAATTTTATGTTTTAAATGGAATCCCCAAGATTTTCTCCAAGAAATAATTGACTGTTTTTGTATTTTGTAACTTCAAAGCAGCTATTAGTACATTTCTGAGATGTAGCAGGAGACCAAAACATGTTTGGAAAGAGAATAAATCTATAAGAGAGACTGGTTGGTTTATTTTCAATGTGCTGAATATATCAAACTACTATTTATTTTGTGTGTGTATGTGATGAGACAAATATTCAGGTGTGTAGTGTATAATTAAGAATGGGATATAGATTTCTTTGGAGTTATTAAATCCATCATGTCTTTTATGTAATGGATGAATCAAGTTTAGAAGCATTTATAGTTTAGCTTGTTAATCTGGTGCTGTTGACCTGCAAGAGAATCTACTTTTGCATATATAGGTGAAAGTTTTACAATTTATGTATGAAGAAATTGTAGGCATTAAAAATATTTTATTGATATTTTCCCTGGTTTGCACTTATTGACCAAAACTCATATTCCTTATGTCATCGCCCTGAACACTTTTCCAGCTAGAATCCCCAGCAGACTCCTCACGCTTCAGAGATGGGGTTTGTCCCTTAATACACTTGCCTCTGTTCATTCGCCTGTAGGCATTCACATCTGCTCAGTTCCTACCACTGATACCTGTCTCCCCACCAACTTACAGAAGACATCCGGGTTAGGAGACTGTTTGGAGATATACTCTGAACTGGAGGGAAGAAGACTGGGTATAAACTTCTTATCAAGAAAAGCAGGCTCTGATCCCCTGTAATAAAAAGCCTGAGATGGCTGAGAAGATGAGTCCTTAGGAATATATTAAGAAAGTAAGCCCTCTTGGCTGAAATTACAGCTCACCATTATGTGAGGCAAGTGGGCACTGCCAGCCAGTCGGAGGATGCAGGCACTTCATGACATGTGTTGAGACTAGGTCATAAATACGAGAGATGCTAGTATTCCAGGTTGAGAAATTAGTTTTGCTTATGGATTTTGAACTCATATTTCCAGAAAAAAATAAAAAGGGTAACCCACCCTTTCAGTGCATAGAGCTGCTTGGAAATAGTTAAGCAAAACCGTACCAAATAGTCATCAATAAAATGTGTCCCTAACCAAAAGGTCTGGTGAGGGTACATTTCTGGACATGAAACTATCAGTAACCCCCAAGCAGCCCCAGAATGGGGACAGTTTCATACAGTTTACTCAAAAAGTACTGTATTTACTGCTGGTAAAGGTGTCCCTCCCTCTCCCCTTCCCCTTTAGGATTAGAAAGCTCTAAGCCAGGGGTCCTCAACCTCCCTCTTCCTGGCCCATGAACTCCCATTACCATTGCCGCCTGAGCTCCTCCTCTTGTCTCCCACCCCCTCCCAGGCCTGACCTCTGCCTCCTATCTCCCCTCCACTGGGCACCCTGGTCCATGGAAAAACTCTTCCACAAAACCAGTCTCTGGAGCCAAAAAGGTTGGGGACCACCACTCTAAACCACTAGAGGGCTTATTAGGAATAACCCAGGGCTCACCCAAATTAATTGCATATATCATACTTACGTTCCATCCTTGGTCTCATAAACTCAAACTGCATCATAATGAGGACTCAGCATTTGGCTTTTGTTTCTACATATGCTGCCTGTATTAGCAGCAGTCAGTGCTAAAAGAATCAGGCAACTTCTTGGCTATACAGGTGAGGGAGATACTTGAACCAAGAAATAACCAAGATTTTAGATATCCCAGCCTCTTGTTTGGCCCTAGTTGGGGACCACCCTGCCTGGTTTCAGGAGCTGAAACCCTCCATGGCTAAAACTGAGTGAGCGACCTTTGGACCATAAGCCGCTAAGGAGACAAAGTTTATCTTCCTAGTAGGAGCATCGCTTCTGCTCCTTTTTCCATAACTGGCCTCCAATGCTTGATCAGTTAGCCAATGACGGGTAAGATTCCCCAAGGGGGGGAATCACCTAAGATAGGCATGATCACGTGGAGGCCCCAGGGAATGACTTGGGGGGCTATGGAGAAAGGGGATGATGGACCCTCACCCCCCCCCCCGCCCCTCGCCCCTCGCCCCAGGCTTTGACGAAACCTGAGTCAGTCTGTCTTCAAGAAGTCTCCAAGAATTCCCTGGCTATCTGCCTCCTCCGCCTGACTTAAGCCTGAAACAATGGCAGAGTGCAGTGCAGCCCTGTGCTGGAAAGGGTGGGGTCCCCGGGTGATTAGGCCTGAGATCTTTCTATGTAAAAATCCTGCCAAACCTGCTTTGTTAAGAGTGCTTTCATTCATATGGTAAGGGTCTAAGCAGAAAAACAATATGTCTCCCAAAGTTTCTGCAACCCCCTTTCCTGACAGACACTGACTCAGACTAAGCCCTCAGATTTCTTTGAAATGTTACTACTGTTTGATCCTTGCTGCCCTGTATTCCTGTGTATTACAACCCAATAAAAGCCCCTGGAGGAAGGGGCTCCTGGCCTTTTTCCTCTGAGAAACTGGCCACCTCTCCTCCCCAAGCAGATCATGTCTCCTACCCAGGGGTAGTGTTTACTTTCATCTGTGGCAGATAGGGGTACTTGCAGGAAAAGTTGCCCCCACAGGCCCTTTTCCTTGGCACATAAAAGCATGCCAAAGACTCCTGGCTGGTGTTGCTCAGTGGACTGAGTGCCGGCCTGCAAACCAAACGGTCACCAGTTTGATTCCCAGTCAGGGTACATGTCTGGGTTGTGGGCCAGGTCCCCAGTAGGGAGTGCATGAGAGGCAACCACACTTTGATGTTTCCCTCTCTTTCTCACTCCCTTCTCCTCTCTAAAAAAAAAAAAATTAAATAAATAAAATCTTAAAAGAAAAAAAGCAGCATGCCAAGGAGAAGGCCTGGATCTTAATCTTCACTGCACCTCAGAGCTGTGTGGGTTGGTAAGTTAAGACACACAACTTCATTTTGGCCATTTTGTAAAATGAGGCTACTACCCAGCTTAGGTTATTGTAAGGTTTAAAATAATACAGAATTTAGTATCTAGCATCCAATATAAAAATGAGGTCTTTCCCCAACATGGTATAAGCTTTGGGTTCTTAATAGTAGCTGTGGGAAGGCCACAGAGAAATACCCCAAAGAACAGGCTTACAGTTACTGTGATCTTTGGTCCTTTAACATTTTGTCAACCCTCGACTGAGGAGAAAGACATTATTTGGGAAATAAATCTAAAGAGATGTTGAGAATTTCTATCCTTGAGGATACAGAATAGAAGACAAGTTGAACTTGATATATTGGTCTTAATACCAGTTTTAGGGACTCAGAAACAAAGGGGACTCCCCACCCTCCACCTCCCTGTTTCCAGCTCACAGAATACCAAGTATTCATCTTAAAAATATGCGGAAACTTTTTACATTAAATGTGACAAAAATAATGTGCAATTACTTTATGCGAAACGAACAACAGGAGCTGTACGGGCTGGTCAGGTGAGCTTCAGAGCTGCATTACTTCACCAGGATCATCTTTGCTTATTTCCACCGGGGTCTGAAGGGGAGAAAAAGTACGTCAGGCGGGTCACGCTTAGTGTTTGTTAGGGGTGGGCTAAGGGAATTGCCCTCCTTACCAAGAGCAGGCAGGGGTAGCTGTGTCCAATTCTGTCACCTAATGCTTCTGGTCTCAGTTGCCAGAGGGACTTAGTAGTAGGGGTGCTGACCAGAGGCAGAGAAAGGAGAAATATACAAGGTCCAACAGGAGGAGAGAGGAGAGAGGAGAGAGACGTGTGCCGCCCAAACCAATAAAGACCAGTATTTACTTGAGGGAGAGTTAAATGTGGGCTGCTGGAGTGGGCTGAGCTAAGCAATGGTGGTGACCACTGAGCACAGGGAATGTCCTGTGAGAACAGGCGAGGTCATCCACATCAGAGAGCTTCGACCCTGGGCTTGAGAAATCTTTAACTCTACCCTCCTGTTTATTTGAAACTGAAACAGAAGAGAGACTCTTATAAAAATATACATAAAAGATCACATGAAAGACTGAGGTAACTCTCCCAGCTTAAGAAGAAAGTAATAATAATAGAAGTAGGTAAGCTACGTAGCTTTTTTAACACAGAAAAGGGTTTTTGTTTCTCAAGTTACTACAGCTGGATTTCGATGCTTAGTTCATTTTTCTCAGGGAATACATTTCAAAGTCAGAACAGAGAACAAAGTTGACAGCACACTTACCCCTCCTGGGGGATACTTATACCCCTTCCACATAGTTCCTGCAATGAGAAGCATCCATAAGACAACAATCATTGCGGGCTCCGGCTCAGAGGGCAGTGCGTGCACAGGGAAGCAGGTGGTTCTGAAAGGTGTGTTCTGTTCCCTGAGTGCTGGGAATGGGGCTGTCTTCATTCAAAGCCTGATGGTGGATGACCCTGCATGATAGCTCCTGGCTGAGGAGCTCTGTGGTCTAGACTGAACTAAAGTGGCTTGCCATGGCCATTTTGGGGGGCGGAGCTCAGCTACCAATTGTGACATCAGCTCCTGTGACCTTGGGGGCCAGTCAGAGCGAGTAGCTGTGAATGGTTCCCCAGGATGCTGGGTGTGTTGGAGCTAAGGAGCCCTTATCAGAAGGGCCCTGTTCTCGTTCTCTGGTGGCTCTGTGGTTGGGATCCTGGTGGCACCGGATCTTTATTAACTCATCACCTGTCAAAATCCTGACTAGTGGCTTTATGCAATCAAATGCAAAAAGAATTCCGATGTAAAACACAAAACAAAAAAATACCCTGGATTAATTGGAAGGATTAAGTAGCTAGGTATGCTATGAGCAATTGCTTTATATTAACAACTTTCTCAGCTGTTAGATGATTCAAAGAAGAAAAATCTTGCATTTCGCAAAATAGCACAATTAAATTTTTATGCAGGGTAAGCCTCCTCACAACTTCCCTCCCAAGGGAAGAGAAGGAAGGTGGGCTGGTATGCTCATTTCACACAGCTGGAGAAAAGGAGCCACAGAATAGATTCAGTGGTTTGGTGAGGAACATGGCTGTAGCTCAGAGAAACAAGAACCCTGGACCTCCACCACATCCCCACCACTCCAGAGGTCTGACTGTGTGGTGCCAATCATCTCTCATAGGAATTCTGAGGCAGATAAAAAAATAAGAATCATCATTGTGCCTTGCTTAGCATATCTGGGGCTGAGATTGGATACCCGTGCCTTCCAGAGTAGCTCCCCAGAAAACCTGCTCCTGTAGTCAGTACATTACTAAGACTCAGAGTTAGGTTTCTCTAACTATGGAACATCTTTGAAAAAAGAGGTCTGAATGAAACGGGGTGGGGTATGAGGAACCCAGAGGGGACGGTTTGCTAAAAAGACACTATTATTAATGCTTGTTCCAGGCAAGCTGGACTAGTGGAATGAATGCATGAGGCTACTAAGTTCAGAGATCTACACCTACATCCCAGCTTCACAAACAAGTTGGTCTGTGTGGTCTTAGATAAACAATTGAGGCTGTTGCCAAAGTAAATCTTTGTCGATTGGTTCACGATTTTGCTTAGTTGTTAAGTCAGCACACACCAAATGCTAAGTCTTGCATTAAATAAATGCTTTACATGAATGTCTAAATGTAATCCTCACAAAAAAAATAATAAGATACTGAGATAACTCCATTTCGCAGATGAAGAAACTTAACTTCATAGACATTCAACTTACCCAAGTCAGATAGCTAGTAAATTGCAAAGTTAGGACTTGAACCCAAATGCACGTTAACTGTTCTCAGCAGTGCTCACCAAATTCTCTTTCCAATCATTTCTATTTCATCTATTTCTAATCATTTCCCCTTCTAGAGTTTATTATATTTTCCAGAGGAATATAAACTCTCCATTGAGATTTTAGGGTGCTACCAAGTTCTCAGGAAAGGGAGCAATGCAGCCCAACAGACCTGATCACTCACAGTTGTAGATCTTCATCCAAAGCCTGGCTGCCCCGTCGTGCCTTGCTCTCCTTAACAGGCCACCTCTCTTTCCACCTCAGAGTTGGAGGCTGAGTCAGAGAGAAATATAAAGGCAGACATGGCTTTACTCATTGGCCCAGTAGGCAGCTGCCCCTGTATGGGACTGAAAGGACTACTGAAAAGTACACCCTCCAAGGCCCGCCTTCCCTCTTCTGATCAGCAACCATTTACGCACTTGGCCTGAAATCCAGAAGTAAGCACAACTCCAACAGATCCCCTATAAATTCCATAATGCTTTAAAATAAGTGACGTTATATATACCTAGGGGGAGGAGGACTTAAAGATGTCCAAATGGGATGGGAAGTAGCCTGGGAAACTAACTCCTGACCTCTAATTAGTGGTGAACCTCATTTGTCTTTCCCACTTGCTCAGAAACCCCAGCTGGGAGGATCAGCCTGAGCCAGGACTGATTACCGCGAATTTACATACAGGGTCATTACTTACCATGAACTCCGGAAACGTGCCCATGTAACATGCAAAGCCAACAAAAAGCATCCAACCAAGAACTATCATGATAAAACAGTTTTAAAGACACAATTGCACAGTGAAAGACTCTTCACCAAGATCTTGGTAAAGGAGTATGGTCATGAAACCCTCAGATGGCAGAGCTCTAAAAAGTCAGTTCCAGTCCTTGGCTCCAAGGGAACTGCAACTCCCTAGTGGAGAGGTTGGAGTCTAGTAGGGCATTGTGACATCACTGGTCACATGACCCACGCTCACACCAAATCAGATCCCGTTAATTCTTCTGTTCAAAACCCTCCACTGCTTCCTCTTTCCGAGTAAAAGCCTAACAAAGAAAAAATCAGCCCCTGACATTGGAACTGATCTGACCCAGCCAGGTCTCAGTGTTGTTAGCTGACCTGGCACTCACAGCTAGGCTATGTGATTCTCCTGTGGGTATAACAATCTCACTGAAAACCAACATCAGATGGGTCATTCAGACCATGATAAAATGAGATAAAACAAGTCCACTTTATAATTTTGTCTAAGCAGGCAAAAACAAGGTCACTGTACAAACCATGAAACAACAAACATTCTTTTCTCTGCTAATGTGAGTGACTGCTTCTTCTTTACCCATCACCACTCTGTCATCACCCTAGTTTGCCCTTCTTATAGATTCTTGAGATACCCAATCATAGAATTGTCTTTTCTGACAGCTCCCAATCCAGAGGGAAGCTTTGCTTCCTTAAATCCTTCCCCAAGTCACTCAAAGCACACAAATCCTGTTATGATAAGTTCAACACTCTTACTGAGCTATCTCAATGCTTGTCTACAATATCTATTTCCTCCCTGTCAGCTCAGCTTGTTCAAGTGTGAGTATGTGTCTGCTGAAGGGCATAGTTAAGCCAGTCACACGGTGGTACACAGTGGTTCTCAGACTTTATCACGCATTAGATTCGCCCAGGCTTCTTAAAACAGAGTGCTAGACCCTACCCCAGAGTTTGCTTTTGTATGTCTGAGGTGAGGTCTCAGAATCTGTACTTTTAACAAGTTCCAGGTGCTCCTGAGGCTGTAAGTCTGGGGATTGCAGTGGAAAAATCACTGCCTTAAAACATATGTAGCTCCCTCCTACTTCTTATTCCAGCTATACTGGCCTCCCTGTTTTGAGCATCCCCAAGCTCAGGCCTGTCTTAGGACTTTGCCTTGAATGTCCTCTATGTATATGAAATGCTTACTGTTTCACCTCTCAAGGGAATCTACCCTGATCTCCTTACCCTGATTTTTTAAATTCTATTCCCATAACACTTAATTACCTGCTAACATGGAGTCAAATTTACTGATTTATTATATTTGTTTTCTCTCTTCCTACTAATGAAAGAATGGCAGCCTTAGGACAGCAGACATTTTTGTTTATTTTGTTCACTTCTGTATCATCAGACCTAGAAAAATATCTAGCAACTAGTCAATGTTCAACTAAGTTTGCTGAATGAATAAATGCTCCTTCAAGCCTTTCACTTTTGTCTCCTAATTGAGCCACAGAATCCCTTCCTGATGATACAATCACCCTACCGCCAGCCCAACCTCCTGACAGTTAAAGTATCCAGCTCCTGCGAGTTTTTAGGCCCAATGGTTCAAGCCTCCTCTCTCGTTTTCGGAGTCATTTTCTCACCTGGCTTTTTACCCCCTCTACCACCAACAAGCTTGTAGCACCATTCCCCACCTTAAAAAATAAAAAGCACACCCCCCCGCCCCCCATTCTCCATCATCCTCACAACGCTGTCCTTTTCTCCCATTTCTCCGACAACCTTCTTGCCCGCTTAGTTTTCCTTTTCTAGCACCCTGAAATTTGGGTTTGAAGTTTCATTACCTCTTTCTTCCTAAATCCAACTACAATATTCGGTCTTGATCCTTCTCGATACTCTGCTGAATGTAACACATCCTTCTTGAAACTCTCCTCCAGAACAGTGCGAGCTGCTTCCACATTCTTTATGCTTCTCTTCAGGTCCTTTCTATTTCTCTCTCCACAGAAGTCTCCCAAGTTTCTTTCCAGCAAGCTGGAGCGTAGTTCCTATGCGCTGACGCGTTTCTGATGGTGCTCTGGGTTCACATTGGAGCGCTGACCCGACTCCCCGACTCCCCGTGGGGCCGCCGAAGCGTTGAACACGGGTTGACTCTCAAGTCCGAGAAAGGGCGGGGCCTTGGAGTTCTCGGGAGGTTTGGTCCTTAGCGGCCGCCGTCAAAGAGCCGAAGCAAGAGAAGGTCCCTCGACCGGAGGGTGGGAACCTAGCTCGAGATGGAATTCGACTGCGAAGGTCTGAGACGGCTGCTTTGCAAGGTGCGGCAGCGCCGAGTTGGGTTTGGGTACCCGGGGTCTCTGGGGCGTGGCCACATGGCCAGACAACCTCCTCGGGGCGTGTTCTCGTTGGGAGTGGAGGGGCGTTGACCTGAAGTTGGCTGCGGAGAAGGGCCCTGGGGAAGCCACTAGGCCAGTGGCTTCCTCTCTCTCCCAAATTCGGGGCTCCGGCTGTACCCGAAACCCCATACTCCGAGGTCCAGACTCCAGCCGGTGTGAGACCTTCCTTCGCCTCCAGCTTCTCTTGGTTTCCAATAGTTCCCAGCACTCCCCGTCCCTTTAACTACTCCCTTTTCCCTCTGCTAAGATGGCCTGTCCAATTTTTTTTCACTTGCAGTGCTCAGCCTGCGTGTGACCGCCACTCAGATGTCACTCCCTAGAAGATAGAATCACACACTCCCTTCCCTCTCGTTGCTTTCAGAAATATCGATTATCATATTGTGGAGTAATTATTGATTTACAAACCTTACTCATACTTCGGAGCTAATTGACGCCCAAACAGTGTTTCACCTAGCTCTAGGCCTGTCAAAAACAGAGGTGTCAAATAACTGCAGTGAATGAAAAGACCTAAGCGGACTTAGAGATGAAGACAAGACTTAAAGGCCCAGAGGAGGTATGGCCTCTTAATGTTGAACGGTTAAGTGGGAGGGCTGACCCAGAAGTCTGACCTATGTTTCTGGGGCATGACGATCACCAGTTTCCAGGTCAGTCCTAGCTCTCTGATTCCCCACCAGTGTATAGTCTGAGTCATCCCCTCTTTTCACCAGTTTTCTAGTTAAGTGATTCTTGCGTTTCTTAAGGCTTCCCTCATGTGAAAACCATCCATTTGTGCCATTGTTGATGTTGAATTTGCCAGTGTCTTTATTTGTTAGGGCAGTTTGCACTCCTGTGCGAGATTTTAAGCCTCGTTAGTGAAATGGTATATATATATACATGAAATTGTATATATATAATTTCATATCGCATTTATAAATGATTTCATATTGCATATATGCAATATATATATGCTATTTGAATGATTTTAAATACTGTGAAAGGTGTAGACTTTGTAAAAAAGAGCAATGTCGTCATGCTTAGAGTTATACCCTTTCTATTTTCTCTTCAAACATTAAATTTTAAAAAAACACTCTACCAAGTTTTTAAATGAGGGAACATGATATATTCAGTGGCAAGAATTGTTAAAATTGATAGTAAAAAAAGAACTTAATTTTGGTGGATCTGTAATGAAGGAAAAAGACAAAAGACTGATTTTTCTGAAGGGTGGGAATAGACTTGTAGAGGTAATTTTTTTTATCATCAGTACATAACATAATGTCTGGCACATAGGCGCTTAATATTTGCTGGATATGTAAATTAAGGAAAGCAGTTAGAAACAAGTCAGTCCTGCCAATATTTCTGAAGTTCCTTAGCCCTTGTACCAGGTAAATAATATAATAACTTAATATCTAGAAACAACTGTAGTGCTGAAAAATTTGTGAACAGTACATTAAAATCAAGGAGCTGTATGGAGAATGTGAAAATTTTTACTGAAAATAAATAAAACATATTAAATATTTCAACCTAAATAAGTATTCCAGCTTCATATATACAAAGTCAGTTTTCTCCAAATTGACCTTTAGAGTGAATACAATTCCCATAAAAATTCTAACAGGTTATTTTGGGAACTTTTCAAGCTGGTTCTAAAATTCATTTGGAAGAACAGAAGGCCAAAAATAATCTTGACATTCTTATAGAAGAGTAGGTGTGGGAACTTGCTCTACCAGATGCCAAGACTTGTGATTAAGGTTTAGAGTGGTATTGGTGTAAGATAGATAAGTGAACCGGTGAGACAAGACTAGAAGACTTAGAACCATGTTCACATATGTTTGGAAATGCAGTACAAAACACAAGAAGTGCTGCAGATAACTACAGAAGGGAGGATACAGAGACAAATAATTATTCATATGGGAAAAAATAAAAGTAGATTCTGACCTTTTACCAAACAAAAATTTTCTTGTATTAAAGATTTAAATATAAATGGCAAGCTTTAAAACATATAGAGGTAAATGTAGGGGTGAATCTATGGATTCAGAGTATACAGACATTTAAAAAAATATGACAGTATACTCTGATAAATTTGACTGCATTCAAATTAAGAACTTCTAGATATGAAAAGACAGCATGAAGAGAGTGAAGGGTCCAAATACAATCTTAGAGAAGAATTTTGTAATATAACTGACAAAGTATTGATATCCAGAATATATAAACCAGCTTGCTTACAAATCAATTAAATTAATAGAAAATTGGACAGAAGCCATGAATAATCATTTAAAAAAATAAAAGAACCAGGGAAATGAATGTTTGCTCTCAGTCTGTTAGTAAATAGAGAAGCAAATTAAGGCCATGGTAAAACACCATTTTCCTTTACTAGGCTGGCACAAATTAAAATAATTTCAAATGATTTGGAGGATATGGATGAATTGGAATTTTCAGCACTGCGTGTGGCTAAATGGTTATTTAACCATTTTAGGATAGTTTGGCCTTATTTTATTGATTTGATCATGCGTGTTTTATGTCCCATTTACCTCTGGGTAGATTCTAGAGAGAATTAAGAATGTATGAAGCAAGAGATATTTATAGAAGTTATTTATAGCTAAAAATTAGAAACACCCCAAATGTGCAGTGATAGGAAGGAAGGACAATTTGCTCTATAGTCACACATGGAAAACATGTGCATATACAACATTCACACACGCATCAGTGGGGATGGATGAGCTACAATGTGCAACAACACAAATGAATCTCATAATATTTTGAGTGAAAAAATCAGGTTATATACAAATTATACTTTGATAAATTCAAGAAACAAAAGTAAATAAAAATTAAAATTAAACAATGAACAGTGTTGCTTAGGGTTTCACAGGTGATAAAACTATGGAAGACAAAAGCCAAGGGATGTGAACACACAATTCAATTCAAGGGACGTAGCTGAAGGGGCAGAGGAGGAGCGCCAAGATGGCTGTAATGGCATCGGAAAGGTCTGTGTGGTGCTGTACTGTAGCCTTTAGCCACTGCGGCTACTTAATCGTTAAAATTAGATAAAGCGAAAAAGTTAGTTTCTGAGTCACACATGCCACATTTCAAGCATCAATAGCCACAGGTGGAGGTGGCTGTTGTATTGGACAACACACATAGATCTTTTCCATCATGGCACAAAGTTTTGTTAGCACTGTTTGAGATTATATGTGGGTGAGTTGGCGCATGGGTGTTTATTATTCTTCAAATGTGTGTGTGTAAGCATGTGTATATTTATATATACTATTTAGTCTGTATTAAATATTAAGTTTTAAAAAATTATCTGATTCCCGGACTTCTGTTTAAGATGGAGGTGTAGATAGATACACTGTGCCTCCTCGAACAACCAAACAAAGGACAACAACAAATTTAAAAACAAAAAAACCCAGAACTGACAGAAAATCAAACTGTATGGAAGCCAGACAACCAAGGAGTTAAAGAAGAAACATTCATCCAGGGACTTCCGCCAAGAAGGAGGCATGGGTGGCAACACTGTACCCTCTCGCACAACCAAGTTTAAAAACAACAAAGTTTTAGTAACAAAAACATAGCCAAACCACAGAAAATTGAACTATACGGAAGTCTGACAACAACGAACTGTTCAGCCAGACTGGTAAGAGGGTGGAGCAGCGGAGTGGTAGGGCAAGAAAAATCCCCCGACCCAGGTGTGCAGGCAGCCATGGGCCGATCCCAGGTGTGGGGTAGCAACAGGCAGACCCAGTGAGGGTGCAAGGTGGCAGGCTGACCACCTGACCACACACATTCGCGAGCAGATAAACCAGCGAAGGAGCGAGCAGTGAGACAGACCGCACAGGCCCCAGCAGCGGGAAGCAGCAGAGGGGACTGCTATTGTCCTTCTCTGACCCCGCCCCCACATACAGTGGCACAAATTAGCGACCTGGGTGGCCCCACCCTGGTGAACATCTAAGGCTCCCCTCCTCATACATAACAGGCACGAACAGATCAAAACATGGCTCAAGAACAACTCAGAGCCCCAGAGCCAATAACTAAGTGACCAAGAAATATCAGATGTACACTTCAAAGCACCGGTGATCAGGATGCTTACAGAACTTGTTGATTTTAGTCACCAATTAGAGGAACAAATGAAGGCTAAACTAATTGAAATGAAGGGAAATGCACAGGAAACCAATAGTGATGGAAAGGAAATTGGGACTCAAATCAAGGGAGTGGACCAGAAGGAAGAAAACAATGACCAAAAAGAAAAATATGAAAAAACAAGAATTAAAAAAAATGAGGAGAGGCTTAGGAACCTCCAGGACATCTTTAAATGCTCCAACATCCGAATTATAGGGGTACCAGAAAGGGAAGAGGAAGAGCGGCAAGTGGAAAACTTATTTGAACAAGTAATAAAGGAGAACTTCCCCTTAGCAAAGGAAATAGACTTCCAGGAAGTCCAGGAAGCTCAGAGAGTCCCAAAGAAGTTGGACCCAAGAAGGAACACACCAAGGCACATCATGATTATATTAGCCAAGATTAAAATGAAGGAGAGAATCCTAGAAGCAGCAAGAGATAAGGGGACAGTCACCTACAAAGGAGTCCCCATCAGACTGTCAGCGGATTTCTCAAAAGACACCTTACAGGCAAGAAGAAGCTAGAAAGAAGTATTCCAAGTCATGAAGTGCAAAGACCTACAACCAAGATTGCTCTATCCAGCAAAGCTTTCATTTAGAATGGAAGGACAGATAAAATGCTTCTAAGATAAGATCAAATTCAAGGAGTTCATCATCACCAAGCCCTTATTATATGAAATGTTAAAGGAACTTATATAAGAAAAAGAAGGCGAAAAATATGAACAGTGAAAGGACAGCAAACTCACAGTTATTCACAACCACCCTAAAACAAAGAAAACTAAGAGGACAGCTAGATCAGGAGGGGAACCATAGAAATGAAGATCACATGGAGGGTTAACAACAGGGGACTGGGAGGAGGAGAAGAGGGGAGAAGGTACAGAAAATAAGTAGCATAGACAGTAGATAGAAAATAGGGGGGAGGGCAAGAATAATATGGGAAATATAGAATCTAAAGAACTTGAGACATGTCATAAACTAAAGGGGGGGAGTGTTGGGAGAGGGGGTGTACAGGGTGGAGGGGAATGAAGAGGGGAAAGTAGAACAACTATAATGGCATAATCAATAAAATATGTTTAAAAAAAAAAGAAAGAAACATTCATCCAGACCGGTAGGAGAGGCAGAGATGGGCAGCTGGGTGGAGAGGACTGGAGGCAAGGCGGCAGCTGGTGGAGCGGGCAGTCCATGGGGACTGCAGATACACCAGGAGGAACAACTGGGAATGAGCAGACCGCGCAACCCAGAGTTTCAGTGCCGGGAAATAAAGGCTCAAAGCCTCTGAGTGAAAACACCTGTGGGGGTTGAGACAACAGTGGGAGAAGCTCCCAGCCCCACAGGAGAGTTCATTGGAGAGACCTACCAGGTCCTAGAATATACACTAGCCCACCCACCCAGGAACCAGCACCAGAAGGGCCCACTTTGTTTGGGGGAAGCAGGGGAAGTGACTGAAAACCAGCAGAGAATAAAGCAA